CGACGCCAAACGTAGCGCCAGAGACTCCCACGTTCCGGTTAGTAAAAAAGCCTAAAAAGATTTGAATAGTAATTTATTTATATTTTTTAAAGCCTAAAATGATTCACTAAATTTGGCAGATTTTGGCTCCCCTACCAATTGGGTTCGCCGTGTTCTTGGTTCACCTGGCCACAATTCCGATCACCGGCACCGGCATCAACCCGGCCCGGAGCTTGGGCGCCGCCATCATCTTCAACAAGGACAAAGGCTGGGACGACCACGTCAGTTTCTTAACCTTAACCCCATTTTTCAATCTCAGCCGTTGGATTTCTCTGACAAACTTTATCTCTTTGATTATTGCAGTGGATTTTCTGGGTCGGACCCTTCATCGGCGCCGCGCTGGCCGCTCTGTACCACCAAGTCGTGATCAGAGCCATCCCCTTCAAGTCCAAGTGAGCGAATAAATCTCAGCCGTCCGATGCTGGATATCAAAAATTCCCAATCTTCAAATCCGGCCGTTTATGCTTTTTCACTGTTGTAATTTTAATCAAACTGTATCATTATTATTACCATCTCTCTCTTTTTRATTTTAATTTTAATTTCTAGTTTTGTTTTTGTCTTTGTGCGTGAAGCGATGTTGTTATCTGTAATTATATGTGTGGCTGTGAAGCTATGTGTGGTCAAATTTAAAAAAAGAAAAAAAGAAAAAGGGAAAAAGGAAAAAATAATAATAATGAAACCCACTGGCCACTCTTCTCCCACCTGCTCTGTGCGACTTGTCGTTTTTTAATGTCGTTGAATTATTGTAGGGTTTTGAAATTTTTTGAAATATTAGGTGTCTGTGTCTGTGTCTGTGTCTGTCTGTGTGTCCCCACATTTCAATTTCTGCAATGTTCTGTTCTTATCCCATCTGTTCATGGATATTAATTTATAGGACTCTTCTAGTTGCGTTTTGATCGGATAATTCTATAATATGCATACAATTTGTTAATACGGGAAGTGTATTCAAGATGAGATTGGTGGAAAAATAGAATTTATTTGGGTGTAAACAAAAGTGGGTGGAACTAATTAATTAGATAGTGATGGATGAGAATATATATATATATATAATATTCGTTTACCAAGAAATTAATATAATATATTAATTACAAAATTATTAGATTTAAATTACAAAAACTCTTTCAACTTAGTCTAATTCAACGGGTTATATTAAGATTTTTATACCTAAAGAATGGTCATAATTAAGGGATAATTTAAGGCTTAACATAATTAATTGTAAGTATTAATTTTACTATTTGTCCAAGTTAAGGGTTCGGTTCGTGGACGTTAACTCGCTTGGAGTTGAAGAATAAAAAGTGAATACATATTCTTTTCTTTTTTTTTTTTTGAAAAAAGTAAATATATATCCTTAAAATTGAAATATTAGAATATTTCACCCCACAAAGAAAAAAGTAGGTCCCTATCGTGATCATGAATATGCAAAAAAATTAAACGTTACTATACATGTTTTTTTTTTTCCCTGAGAATATTCGTTACGTAAAAGTCAATTTTAGAGCCTAATTGTCAATCCCACTACTCTCCATCTCTATCTGTGGAGTGGTGGGAGGATATTGTTGAATAATAGTGACAGAAGTTATAAATATAAGATAAAAGCCCTAAAATAATTAGTTAAAACTTTGGTCTTTATTACCAATAACTCATTACCAACCTCATTATATTATTTATTTAGCCTAATTACACTTCAATAATTCACCCTCCATTTTCCCCACTTCATTAAAGGTTCATTTTATTTTTTTATACAATTTAAATTAACATATGATGATATATTTGAATTCAAATGGCGCAAAAGGAGTTACAAAAGATAAGTTTTATAGATCAAAACTAACACGTGAAAATTAACTTGTGATTTCTATACTTCCTGCCTCTATTAACTTGAAACTATAAAAGAAGAAACACAAAAGAAATAACTAAGAGAAATGCAAAAGACTTTCATCTAAAAATTGGCATTTGGAGGTAAATTGGGGTAGTAGTATCTTGACTCCAAAATCTGCCTAGGTCCTGCTGAATGACCTGTTGGTCAGGGTAAGTTGGTCTGGAGTGAGCCTCTTCGTGATACCTGCAAAAACAGGCAGGACATTTCAACAYTCAAGTTAGTTAAGAATCCGAATTTAGATAGAACAACTTCAGACAGATTCTCATACCTGATTTGATGGAGTGAGAGTGTATTTATAATAGTCAAGGGGGTAGCTACCTACTGGCTGTTATATCAAGATATTGGTTTGTTCGGTCGAGTGACCTCCCCGTGTCCATCGATCCATAGCAACTTTCGGGCTATCATTATCTTTGGATRTGATGCCTGAGGGATATTTGGCCGCCTCCAAGTATTTGGAGCCGACCTGCCAGGTCGGCCTAGTGATTTCTTAAGAACAGGTCGATCTCCGACAGTTAGCCCCCAAAATAGTATATAGAAATACAGTCTACGAGTTATATATGAGAGTATTTGTTTGGCTAAAACCCTTAATATTTGATTACGTTTTTAGTTCAGTTCCTRTTGTTTTAAAAAAATTAATTTAGAATGCTATTGTTTCAACATTTTTTCAAATATACCATTTACTTGGATGAATGTTAAAATTTGATAATAATAGATTTATGACATGATATTTAAATTTAGGAGATGAATAGAGCCTTGTAAGAGATGCAAGTTTTTTATTCCTCTAATATTCTCCAACGAAAATGGTGTAATTAAAAATTTAAATATAAAAGACAAAATTAAAGTTTTTTAAATAACAGAGTAAATTGAAAAAAAAATACTGAAATCGTTTGATCCTACAATCTTGCCATTCAATAATTATGGACTAAGCCCTCTACTAAGTTCACGATGTTGATGGACTGGGCTTAGGTGCAGGAGGCTGGCCCAATGTATTTTCATGGGCCGTACCCGATATCTTTCTGCCCACGACATTAACTCTAAAATAATTTATTCCAATTTTAGTTACATTTAAAAATTAAACAAATTTGGACAGTATGTTTCAATTATGATTAAAATTAAGTGTGTTAGTTACTACCAATATGGTAAATCTTGATACGTCAATTACAGTTGAGCTAGCTAAGTTTGCTTTTGACGAAATGAAACTATTTAAATTCATTTACGTACCTTCTCTCATAAGATAATTTTATAAATGGTAGTTTTAGAATACAAAGGTTGTACTCCAAATATGTATAGTTTCTTTCTTTCTTTTTCTTTTTTCTTTTGGTTTCTTGACAATTGACTAGCCCTTCCTATTTTAAAGGTATTTTTGTTTTTCATTTCTGAGGAAAAATTACAAAGGAAAAAAAGAAAAAGAATTTTTGTCATCTAAAAAATGAATTTATAATGGAAATATAAATTTTCGATTAAAAAATCATGTCGAATCTCCACTCCCACATATTATTCTACCAAAAAGTAGTAGACAAAATTAAACTAAATTTATGAGTTAATTGTCATTAATATTTAAATTTATTTATTTTTTCAAGTAAAATAAATTTGAAGAGGAGAGTTTTGAATCTTCAACTTGATTTCATCCATACTCAAGTTGGCTTAAATTCATTTATCAATCTTGAGTTAATTTCATAAATGTTTTTTTTATACAATAAATGGTGGTGTTAAGTACAATGTTCTCCTTCCAAATCCGTATAGTATTTTGAATGTATTTTTGTTTTGCATTTATAAGAAAATCTTAAATTAGAAGGGAAAAAAATCATTGATAGGGTATATAATTAATCATCATCCATTTTTTAACAATATTTTATTCTCAATTTTAAAGAAAAAATTGATGATAAGACGTGCATTTGATCATCCATTAAGTTAAAAGGAACATAATGTAAAAGAGAAACATAATCTTAAAAATATTTAGCAATAAAAATTATATTGAAAAAAAAATACAGAAGATTTGCAAAAATATGGAAGAAACTATTGGCTGCCATCGTAAGTAATTGCATTATAGAGATTTAAACCTACAAACTTTAGATTAAAAATTGACTATTTACCCACTCTACCCAACTAATTATGGTAGGTTTTTTTAAGTAACTAATTATGTTAGTTAAAGATGTGTATACAGTGTGTTAAAGAGATGATCAGGTTAGGTGGTGTGGTCATGCAATATCAGTCAGTCGTCTCTATAAGAGGTGATAGAAACGATCATGTTAGACGACGACCATACAAAGTAGGTCGTCTCTAATTCTGATTTTTTAAAAAAATTTATTTTAATCCGCCGTGACGCTATCAAAGCACCACATTTGGAAGTCATCTTCGAGATGACTTGGTGATAGAATTTCTTTTTCATTTTAACATTATTCCACGAACAAATTTGGTGATTGTATTATTTTGAAAATAATTTTCAAAATTACCAATATTAAAAGGAAAAAAAATCCCATCTATAAGCGCCAAGAACTGGCACACGTCCCAAGAAGTTAAGCATGTGGAGACATATACTCGATCACTCGATCGGTTTCGACGCTGACTTCATATTTACTGATATACCCTCAAGACTAAAGGGTAAAATGGTCAAATTTTCACCAATTCGCAATTCCTTCCTTCCACGTCTTGCTTAATATCTATTTTATTTTACTTTTTGAAAAAAAATCAAATTATCTAAATTAATATACGATAGTCAAATGGATAATTATTCGAACCTTTTTTTTTTCCTTTTTCCTTTTATTTGAATGTTCGAAAATAGACACACAATTAAATTAAGAGCCCAAAGGTTTTAATCTTTAATTAAGACCCATTAACATTCAACCATTACCATTTCTTAAAAAATTTTCGCTTTAATTTCTCTGGAAAATGATACGTAATTTCCCATCTTCAGGTTCAAGAATTAGCAAAACGCCATCGAAATGTCAATTTCATTTGGCTAGAACCGAAGTCGTAGACGCTATTTCTCTGCTCTCCGCGAATGAATTAGATCTCTTGTTTCGCTTCGATTTCCCCAGAAATTAACACCCATTTCGCTCCAATTTCTTTCTTCCGAATCACGATATACCCTTTTTCCCCCCTTTCTGTTACTGGGTTTTAGCGGGAAAGTATGTCGGACGCCTTGATCAATGGATTGTCCGGAGCTGGAGGAGGGATCATTGCTCAGCTCATCACATACCCTCTTCAAACTGTAAATCTTTCGACTTTCCACTTTATGGCGCTGTAATTTGTTTTCTTCTTCCCTTGTTCATGCCAGAGGCCYTTGGTTTGTTCTTGCAGGTGAATACCCGTCAGCAAACCGAGCGCGATGTGAAGAAGGAGAAGAGGAAACTTGGAACATTTCAACAGATGTGCCAGGTGCTCTCAATTTCCTTCAATGTTTGTATGGTTAACGAGGGATACTGTTCTTGTTGGTAACCAGCTCTTTGGTTGATTCGTGAACAGGTTGTAAAACATGAAGGATGGGAGCGGCTCTACGGTGGCTTGGCGCCGTCTCTGGTGGGTACGGCTGCTTCTCAGGTGAGACCTCATTTCAGCCCATCTGACTCTTTCGAATTTCAGTGTCAAATTTGTCTTGGTTACAAAGTTACTGCGAGAGTGGGGCTTTTTGGTTTCTGATTTTTGTTAGAATTGGAAAATGCGATTCACTTTCTGTTGTGTGTGAAGCGGATCAGCAGAACATTTAGAATTTGATTGTTGATGCAGTTGAGGAGAATTTGCGTTTTCCTTAGTTACATGGAAGCATAGTGAAAAATTGTCTTGTCACTTTATAGAGGATTCCAACAATTACTAGTCTGTGTTCTCTTCCTTATGCACTCTTTTAGTTGGACAAATGCAGGAAGGTATTATGACATAGACTCGTGAGAGTCTCATGAAAGAGGAAATTCTTCCAATTCTATTGCCAAACTTTCGAATATGGCCCTAACATGTTATTACTTGATATCCTTAATTAGGTAGCATCAATTATTAATGTTGTGGAGGTTGCTCAAGTTATTGAGTTCTATTAATACGTTGTTGAAAACAAAAGGTTAATATTTTCACCAAAGTGAACTAAATATTTTGATTAGATTTTTTCCAGCAGCACGTCAGTGAATCATAAGCGTCCATACTGCATACTGTCATGTTGAATTCCCTGTTTTCAGTTCTATACTATATAATTTCTTTCAAAATAAAGTTAACTTTGAACTTATTGTTGGAATATTGGCAGTAACTTATCCTGTCTTTTACCAGTGTTATGATTTATGAAAATGATTTATATATGAAGATTTGATATTTACTACTTTCTTATTCTCTGTGCTTTAGTTGCTCTATACCTGTACTCAAAAAAAAAAAAAAAAAACCTCTATCACTAGATATGTGTAGAAAAATGGAGCTGTTTGGTGCTAGACAGGGATTTATTAAATGTAAAAAAATGTTTTTGAGCTCATGGATTAGAATTAGAGAAAGGGCACGTACATTATATATATAAAAGGCAACAACTGGTGTTCTACACATCTAATTCGTTCATTTTCAGTGATGATTACATTGAAATGGAAGAATGTCAACTTTTTTCTTGAGCTGCTTACTGATTTTAGCAAGGATAAAGTACATTTATATAAGTGTAGCTGTTTTAATGCCTCCACTTTTTATTTTTTATTTTAAAGAAAAAAAAACCATTTCCCTTTGAAAGTATATAGTTACAAATACCCATTTGGCTACAAGAAAGAGATTTCTATTTGAACATTTGCACAAGTTTGTTTTCTTTATTTAGATTTGTCATCTGTGGTATCTTACATTTGCACAAACTTTTGTTGTCGGTGTAGGGTGTCTACTATTATTTCTACCAAATATTCAGGACCAAGGCTGAAGCTGCTTCTCTTGCACGAATGAAGGCAGGGGTTGGGGATGGATCAGTTGGGATGCTTTCCTCTCTTCTGGTGGCTGCCATATCTGGGTTTGTTTATAAAGTCGTTAAGATTTGAGTTTTTTTTTATTATTTTCATTTTGATAAAAAAAAACCTTCATTTTCGAACAAAAGAGAAGGGATACAAGAAAGGGAATGAAAAAGAAACACTCAGCTAGAAATAAGGGAGCTAACAGAAAATTACTCTAACTGGTAGAAAAAAGCAAGTTATAATTACAAAAAAGGGGGGGAAAGGGCACAACATAGAGGCCCAACAGTTTATTGCCGAAACTGGTGTCTTCCCAAGAGTTGCTTGATTAAAAAAAATCATATGGCTCCTTTCCAACCAAAGTTTCTACAGGTTTGCCTTCCTTGGCACTGACAAATAACTTATCTTCTTTTCATCTAAGGGTTTGCCATTAAATTAAGTCACTTATTACAACTACTACCTAACCATCTGTACTATGCAATTCTTTGTTCTTCCCCTATAATTTGTCTAAAAAAATTTTCATTCTTTAGGTGTGTTAATGTGCTGTTGACAAATCCTATATGGGTTGTAGTTACACGAATGCAGGTAATAATATATTATGACACGTATATTGTTTTATTTGCACTTCCATTTTGAGAGAACTCATTGAATTCTAATTGTATCCGAGTACAAGGAAATCAATTTGGGATGTCACCCTCAAGGGTTCAGCATAGTATCAAACCCCTTTTCCATTATATTGTTTTATTAATGAGATAGCCTTGCCTTTTTTTTTATTACCAAATTTTGGTTTTTGCTTCTTCTACTTGATGTAATTCCCACTTTTGGCTTGGATTTTTTGACCTTTGATTCATCTTAAAGAAAGTCTGTTTTGGGGGGTTCGAGAGGATTTCAACCATTAAAAGAATTGTGTTAATCTTCATATAAAAAAAAAAGAATCGTGTTAATCTCTCTCTCTCTCTCTTCTGAAACTTTTATCGGTTTACATCCAAAATTCTAAATACAGTTGCCAAACACCTTAGATATTGGCTCCATTTTCTCTCTGTCATTGCACTTATTGATGTTAACTTCCCTAAGGAGCATTATGAAGTAAACTCCAATAAGAAGCAGTTTCGGAATTGTAAAAGATGGCACGGGATTTGAAAATTTTTAAATGACATGATTTGTGATATCATTTTTCAGACGCATAAAAAAATCTCAAAGCCGTCTCTGCCTGCTGGAGCACCATTGACTCCTGTAGATGGAATAATTCAAACAGCAGTTGATCCTCCATCCTACAGAACCACTCATGCTGTAAGTAACAAATATCCATGTACTAGTTTCCATGGCAGCTGTAAACTCTTTATTGCATGATCTGCTGCCTATAAATTGTGAGCTAGGGTGAGAACGAAGGCAGACGTGTTTTTTCTGGACTTAACTGCTTGAGCAATATTCTGCTACCACGAGTTCCTTAGTTATAACGATATCTCTGTAATTAGTTTATCTTTTCTCCGGTTCTGTCTGCCAGAATCAAATTTGGATCTGTAGATCGCCAATCCATCATCTGACTCTATGATTCATTTGGGATAATCAGCATTTTTCTTTTTCTTGGGGTTAAWTTCTTATCCATTTGTTGAAAATAGGACATTTGAGGATTTCAAGTTCATGAGAAGCCCCCCTCCCCCTCTTTTGTTATGAAATCTTTGTTTAATATTTCATTTGATTTTCCTTGAATTGAATATTTTCTAGATTTAATGAATTTTTTTTGCTGACATATGAATGGTTCCCTTTTCTTTGAGTAGCTGAAAATTATGACTGCTAACAGTTGTCCCCCCTGAAGTTAACCGATATCTCAATATATTGACAAGACATACAGATGCTCTTAAGAGTGCAAACCCAAAAGCAGTACTCATTTTTTCTTTATTTGGTCTGAGTTGGGAAAGAATGTGACATAAATGTACCGATATTGAGAGATTTAGTCAGCAAGTGATATCACATAAACATTTTTTCTCTTCACTTTTTATATCTTCCAGCTCTATCTTGTTTGTTAAAGTAAGTTTTTTCTCCCATTTAAGTTGTCTCTTCTCCTTCTTGTCGTGGCAAACAGACTCCACTAAAGACATTTGACTGAGTTTATTCGATTTTGAAAAACGTGATTCAATCTTCAGATTCAAGAACTTTACGATGAAGCTGGAATCAGGGGTTTCTGGAAAGGAGTAATCCCAACATTGATCATGGTACTTGGGAAATAAACTTTGTGTTTATACATGAGGAAAACACTACTAAATGATCCTTTCTTGATCACAGGTTAGCAATCCTTCTATACAGTACATGCTGTATGAAACAATGTTGAGTAAATTGAAGAAACGACGTGCCTTACGCAAGGATGGCAATGGAGTTACTGCATTAGAGGTAACCTTTACCCTGACCTCTATAACTCTTGACATTACCACATTTTGATCATGTCCGGGATTGATTTGTCCACTCATAAGTTATAATTTGTTTTTCCAGTGTTTCATGGCAAGCTAACACTTTTGAGATTTGACTACTTGTGTAGATATTTTTTCTCGGTGCCTTTGCAAAACTTGGAGCTACTGTAGTAACCTATCCTCTTTTAGTTGTGAAGGTGAATTCTCTAAGCTTGTGAAGAAAATAGGATTTCATTTCTATTCCTTAAAAAAGCTTCAGTTTTAAGACATTTGCTCCATTCTTACAACTGTTTCAGTTAATTTTTTCTCATATTTCATACCGGTTGGCGCTATATGCTGAAGCTCGTGTTTACTCGTCTAGCATGCATCAGAGTAATTTTTTTTTTAATCCAACTGTTTTCTTTGCAGGCTAGGCTTCAAGCGAAACAGATTGTAGCTGGAGACAAAAGACATCAATATAAAGGTTTGGACTCGTGCGATAATCTCCCCAGTTATTCTGAACATAGTATCTTCCACCAGTAAAAAGTGGTGGGAGGGTTAAAAGTAGTTATGTTCTCCCAGTCTTGCCTGCTGCTTGTTCTTTTACTGTCTTGGTTTGCCTTTAGGTTAGCTTAAATTCTCATAGGTCAACAATGTCTCCTTTCCAATTGGATGCCCAAAAGCTGAAAAACATGATTCTTTGAAAATGCAGCTATGGTCATTGTGTCTGTGATATTCAATAGGGGAGAGAGATTATTGAAAAAGGAGAGCTAAGGAAGCAAAGTGGGAAAATTTGGTGGGAAAAGGGATGGAAATCATAAGGAGATTTCGAGTTATCTGCGTGGTAGTAGACCTCTCGACTTTCATATGGTTATATTTGCGAGCATGGCAGGTTTCCAAAGACGAACCTGTTGGTCTAGTTTGGATTCATCGGTTACAAGTTCTTAAATTACTTGTAAACTATCATGGGTTTGCCTAGTGGTCAATAAAGGTAAAAGACTCAAAGAGAATGGGTTCAAATTATAATGGTCCTTGGATTTTAATATCCTACGAGTTACCTTAATAGTGTCAGGCATTTGTCCCATGAAAATAGTCGAATAGTCGAGATGTAGAAAGAAAGAGTTCTTATAGTATTTTTATCCTTAGCATTCTTCTATGCTGCAAGTCAACAATTTTTCCGCCCCTGCAAACTAATCCCACTTCTTATCCAGGCACATTGGATGCCATCATCAAAATGATCCGATACGAAGGACTGTATGGATTTTACAAAGGGATGGGCACGAAAATCGTCCAGAGTGTTCTGGCTGCAGCTGTCTTGTTCATGGTCAAGGAAGAACTCGTCCGGGGCGTCCGGTTCCTTCTTGCGAAGGATGCAGCTGGTAGAATAAAATCAAAGCCTCAATGATCCGGTGATTCCTATATGACTCATTACAGGTCTTTAAGAAAGTTATCCAAGCTTGCAATTTATCTCTTACTATCTTTCTTATACAGCTTAGTGCAGCATTCTTTACCAAACGTTTATAAAATTGTTAGGAAATTTAATTATGTCCTAGAAAAGATAGGTATAAGATTTGGCCTGGAAATTGCCAATTGAAATATATCAATATGTTATAGCAGGAATATCTGATTCATGTGGAATCTTATTGTACTTAGAGATTATTATATTGTTACTCTCAGATTAATAAATTTATGAGGATGACCATTACCCTCCCATTATGTAGCTTATATCTTCCCAATTTTTCTTTTAAGTTTGAAGTTTATTCTTGTTTTTAATTTGATCTTTGAAATTAAAAGTCATAGTAGTTCCTATGCCCCCAACGGGCAGATCGGTTGGCAATAACTTAGGATATGATCAGCTGCCCATAACTTAGGATTTCTTGATCATACTGGYTTAGAGGTTTCAAGCTTGACTCTTTCGACGAGCTCAATATAAAAAATTCTTGATATCTTCCGAAGGTCTTTGGACGGGTGCGGTTGGGTGCCCTTTACGTAGGGGGGCAAAAATATGACTCCCACCCAGTTATAAAAATAAAAAGTAAAAAAGTGATACTAATCAAATAAATACAAGTATGTAATAATAAAAACTAAAAGATCATTTGTAAAAAACAAGAATAAATAAGATAAATAAAATACTGATGGATTTTTTAGATTTAATCTATGAATATTTAAGTTAATAATCTATTATGCGATGGTATAAAATAAGAGCATGCTCATGCTAGTAATCCATATGAACTGTAATTATTCTTTAGAATTGTTATTTGTAATTATTTAAAAGGCTAAATTACTAGGATGTCTTAAACTTTTAGGAGCACGTCAGGTAGTATAATAAGCTTTCAAATATTTTGATGAACTTTTGATTTTTTTGTCTAATAAGCTTTTGCCATGAACTCATAAACTAGTTTTATTAATTATTTAAGTATTACACGTGGACAAATTTTCTTAAGCATAGACGCTTGTTGGTGTAAACATTAWATTGACACCTACTTCTTCCATTATAGGAGGTTCGAACTTCCATACCTTCGATTGTTGTATAAAAAAAAGGTAGCAGAATTAAAATCTTTTTTTTATTAACACACAAAAATTAAGAAATTAATAGAATCTTTCGTTGTACATAAGCTATCCTAAAAATTCAATAGCCTGTTAAAACTCTTTAAATACATCCATTGAATATATGTATAGAAGTTAAGAAATTAATCTTATTTCTATAAAATATATATTTAGAAAATTCTAAAAAATAAATCCAACCGTTCAGGCTTCAAATTTTCTTAAATATTTACTAGGCAGAATTTAAAATTTCAACTTTTAATGTATTATACTTTAAACAAAGATTAGTGCGAGAATTACGAATTTTACCTTTTTTTTTTCTTTTAATACATCAACATGTGACACTGAATATTAGAACTTACAATGCCTTAATTGGTTTAGCTAAGCTCATATTATCAATCATTATCTTAAACTTTAAAAAGTGTTGTCACAGTTCAAAAATAGGTACGATCAAGAAGATTGTGAGATTAAATTCTTATTCTTATATTTTGTAATTAAAAGAAAAACTTTAAAAAATGCTACAATCTTTGCCTTCAAATTTGAAAAGTTGAACAATAATTACTTGTGATTAGATTTTCGTTTGACAAATTGTTAAAATAAAGTATTATAATGTATGGTAAAACATATGTTTGTACAAAATTTTATAGAAAAATTACATTGATTTTTTATTTTTTCAATTGGAATTTGTGAGTTCGTATCAGTGTCAATCAAATTTAATTTTGTTCCAAGCTTAATTTTTATTGAAATTCGTGAGTTTTAAATTATTTTTACCCATTAAAATTATGGGTGAATTAGCCAAAAATTAAATATAAAAAGTAAAAAGAGGTGAAAAACTATATACCTACTTAGAAATTGAATTTTTTTCCTCCAAAATTTAATTATGAAAAACAAAAGACTTTCGGTCTCCTCTCTCTCTCTCTTTTTTCTTTCTGAAAACCTATTTCCAGTCCGCGGACTGCGAAGAGAACTGAAAGGCAAAGAAAAAAAAAAGTATCAAAAATGGCGACCAAAAACGCCAAGAAGGCCAATCTCTTAGATCACCACTCCATCAAACACATACTCGACGAATCCGTCTCTGAGGTAATTCAATTTCATCCGCCCTCTCTTCAGATCCTCTTCTCATCAATTTTTTCTCTAGGTTTCTTTCTGAAATCTTCCGTTTTTTGAGCGTTTGGTTGCAGATTGTGACCAGTCGCGGGTATGTGGAAGATGTGAGGTTGAGTAATGTCAAATTGGTCATGGGCACTGTTATTATAATCATAGCTTTGGTGGCTCAGTTTTACAAAAAGAAGTTCCCTGAGAATCGCGATTTCTTGATCGGCTGCATAATATTATATCCTTTTTTTTTCGTGTGGTTGTATAAATTTGTCTGAATTACCGTTTTTTTTTCCCTCTACATTTAGATCTTCCGCTGGGAGATTGAATTTCATTTTTTGATTGGCGTTATCTTATGGGAATGGACATTGGATCGAATGGTGGATTTTTTATCCGCTTTCCCTCAATTTCCTGTTGTCATGTTCGAATGCTGAAGCGTATTGTACTCTTTCTGGTGCTATCATGTGATCTTTAACTCTGGCAAGTATGTAGTCTTCAATGGGATTTTGCAGTTGATTGTTTACACCAAGGAGAAGAACGCAATTTTGTTCACCTATCCTCCTGCAGTAAGTTTCTATAGCGTTCAGAATTACTCTGCTTTCTAGCCCACTTATATGTTTATGACCACTAAAGAAAGCATTAACATCATGAATAGTCATGCATGATTTTGGGATTTCTTTGAGCTAGGTAATGACTAACTGGCTACATTTAGGGCTTTGAATTTTTTTAGCTCAAAGAACCACAGAGATTCTTTGAGTTTTACCAATGTGATGAGTTTTTTACTTTTCTAATCATAACTTCTGAACTTGCATTTATACTTCAGAGAAGCTTAACAAAACTTTTGTCTTCTAAGCTAGTTTCTGTATTCTGGAAGGTTTAAACGGTTTCGAATTACTGTGGAGCTCAGTTGTTTGGGTCATTGATTTCAAAAAATTGCTTTCCCTTTCTCTTTTAGTCTATTTTCATAGATGGCACGTTTCTAGAATAACTGAAGTTCTTACTTTCTTCAAATTTCATTGGCTTGTGAATAATGATCGTAATTTTGACCTTTTCTAGCTGCCTAAAAGCTATTTTTAAAGACCGTTTGAAACAAAAACAGGAAACTACTTTTTAGAATAGTTCTTGATTTCTGCAATTTCATGTTACATTTCAAACTGTTTAACAGCCCCTTGTCAAATGGCGCTCAAGTTAACTCACTKGGTTGGTTTTCTCTATTTATTTACAATTTCTCGAGTACCCTGCCACATTTCAGAAGTAACAACTTCTTTGCTTCTCATGACTGGAAGAAATTTGGAAGGCTTTCTTTTACCCCTGTTTTAAGATCTTGTATTAGTGAGTTATACTTCCATTTTCGAAGGAGTTTGTTATTAGGATACTTCTGGGAGTTGGGAAGATAGGAGGCTTACATATGACAATTGAGTGCCACCATGTACACATACTTTCTAGGAATCTATGGGCAATTTGGACTCCATCTTCTCATAATGTAAGGATAGCCAATTTTGTTCYGTGCACGAGAATGACCCTGTTGTCTGAAACTTCATACATGTTGAACTTGTTACGAACATTGGTCATTGTTAAATCACCAATAAACTGAAAAACTTAAGCAGATGGATTAGACTAAACTCAATCACTTATAGATATCTTAACACTCCCCTTCACTCGTGGGTTTGAAAATTTGCATAAGGCCTAGCGAGTGGAAATCAAGATTAAATGGGGAGGAAATGACAATACAGGGGTTTATCTCTTAGCCTTGATACTATGTTAAATTACCAATATACCAAAATGCTTAAGCTAATAGGTTATGATAAATTTGATTCATTTGTAGATTCTTAACAATCATCGCGTTGCAATTTTTCTCTGCACAGGGATCCTTCACCAGCACAGGATTGGTAGTCTCTTCAAAGTTGCCCAGATTCTCTGATCTGTACACGCTGATCATATCTAGTTCAGATCCCAATTCAATCTCCGCTAACAAACCAGTGGAATTTACCAAGAGTGTCACTCAATGGTCTCTTTCTCTACACTACATTCTGGAATCTAGTCTCTCAAATATTTTCCTGTACATTTACCAACCAAACATACACTATCTTGCAGGTTCACTAAGGATGGAGTTTTAGTTGAGGGGCTCTTCTGGAAAGATGTCGAAGCACTGATCGATGATTATGCCAGAGAACCAAAGAAGAACAAGTGATTTCTTACACAAACCTCATACAATAGGGATCTATTTTTCGAGGAAAGTATCTGCTTTCAATTTTTAAGTGCCCCTTTTAGATTTCCAGCAGACATTAATTATCTTTTCCATGATTAATAGGCTTTAGAAGCAAAACAGCAGGAACCTACATTTTCAATCACTTTAATGCTAATAGAAATACTGTTCTTAAAAGTCTCTTAGTTCATCTGAAGGCCACAAGCGACTTGGCCTTTTTTCCTTGAAACCTTGGCTGAATTTTCTTTCCCATTACATAATATTTGAATCAACACTTGAAATGCTGTCACCTGTAAGGCGGAGATCTGAAGGATGGATTTTGAAGTTTATGCCTACTAGGTCCACGAACTTCGATGGAATGTTATATCTACTAGTTTCTTGAACTTTGAAGAGTATGTCTTACTTCCAAAAAAATATTTTTCTATTTCGTGTCATGTTAGTCCTCAATTTTAAAAGATAACTGTTCACCTTAAACATGACAAGATGTATCAATTTTTTATTTTATCAAATTGCATRCTAAAATTTAATAAGTATTGCAATTGTTACCTTAAATTTTAAAGAATATTGCAAAATTTGCCATCTATTGTTAGAAGAATTGGTGCATTTAATAATATAGAACATACATTTTAGTTTGAAATCGATAGGATTAAAAAAATATGATATCAGGGGTTTTTTTTTTTTTGTTAAAATTGGTAAGTTTTGGTCAATTTATATAACGGTCAATTTTGTTCATTAATCAAACTCGATTTTATGAGGAAAAAAAAGTTAATTTTCATTCATTAGTAAGTTTTGGGTTCAATTTGAAAAAATTGAAAACTCAACTTGATATATCTTGTCAAGTTTCGAGATAAAAATTGATATTAAAAAAAAAAAGAAAAAAAAAAGAAAAGAAAAGGACATGAAGTATTGCAGAAAAAAGTGGGGATAAAACAGTACAAGGAAAGTTTGTGTCCCAAAAGATGTGGGAAAAAGGTGTGCAGTGCCAGGGAATAAACTGTAGGGGATAAGATTTATGATATTTTTAGCCTTTTTTGTGCTTCTAAAATTAGGATGAAAAATTTGAAGGTTAAATAAAATCCCCAAATTTTTAGTTTAGCTAATCTTGATACATATACCTTTTAAATTTTGTAATTGAACTGTCATGTTAAAATTGTGATAGAAAAAAAAACAAGAGATAAAAATTAAAATATGAAAGGATTACAAAATTTCTTGAAATGTAGTCATAGAATTAAAGTAAAATGCTATACTAAAAAATATATATATTTTTAAAGTATATAAATTTATATAACTAGTTTGTTTGATCATAGGGCTGTTACAACCAACAAGAGGGCATGTGAAATTGTGTTCATCCACAAAATCACTCGCATGAATGAAACTATGATGATAGTGATGCTTCTTTCCAAAATTTCAGCCAAATTAAGTGTATTTTTACTTTTTCTTACCACATTAATTTGACTAAATAAAAGTTAGTTAATCTCAAAGTAGTTTAACTGAAATAAAGGAGTCAATCGCTAGTTCACACATGTTAAAACAAAATAGTTGAAAATCATTTCGTTTTTGTTTCCATTTTTGTCTCTTTAAACTATATATATAAATATTAGTTAAATTAAAATAAATGAATAGACAAAATTCACATCTTATTTTGAGATTATTACATTGATAGACCTTTTAGAGACGGTAATTACACAAATTGATAGACATCGCACGCTCCCCAGTCCCTCAGCGGTGGAAGCCTCCTGCAGTTAACTCTGTTAAACTCAACACTGATGCTGCTTGTCGATCAACAGCAACAAGCGTCGGGCTGGTGATTCGAGACCCATCTGGTTTGCTCGTTGCGGCAAAAACGGTTCGAACCCCTTCCCCGATGCCGCTCCTGTTAGCAGAAATTAAGAGGCATCCTGGASGGCTTAAAATTCGCTGTTGCTATTAACTGCTCCCATTTAGAGGTTGAATCGGACTCCATGTTGGCCATTCGTCTGATCAGAGAAGAGCTTCACACCATGGGGGATGAATTGAACTGGTTGATGGAGGTGAAATCCCTAACTCTTTCTTTCGATATCATCTCTTTCAATTATGTGCCTGGAAGCTGCAATTTTCCGGCCCATCATCTAGCTAAGTGGGGTGTTGCTTCTCCTCCAGCCACGTGTGTTTGACACTTTTATTTTCCAAGTTGGCTTCTGGAAATTGTTCAAAGAGACTCCCCTTCATTTAATTTAATACAACTACTTTCTTAAAAATATATATATATATATATAGTTTTCAAAACTGTTTTGATTTTAAAATACAATTGAAACTTCAAACTATATTTCCAAAAATTCAGAGATATATAAAGAAACGATATTAAACAAACGTATACATTGAACACGAAGTTATCATAAGACGAATCTCAAAACTATGGAAACACAATCAATAAACCAGTTCAGCTCATTTGAACCATTTAAATTATATGAATTTTTTCCTTTTTTTTGTTGATAAAAATCAAACTTTAACCCCTGCTAAGTTGTATCAATTTTTACAATAAATTTTTAATTTATCTATTTAGAGGTGATAAGTATTGTAATTTTAATCATCTATTCAATTTCCACTAATTCACCCTCTAATTTTAACAAAAAGAAAATAATTAATAAACTTATCAAAATTCAACTTTACCCAAAATTAAGGTTGATTAAGGCATAAAATTGGCCATGGAATTACTCTACTAAAATTCACAATTTTCAACTAAAAAAATCAGCTTTAATACTGTTTTTTAAACTATTATCAATTTCATTCCAGACACATGTTTTATAATTTATTAAATACACCTAAGAATACTTTGTTCTCACGATTCTTTGAAAGAAACTTGTATAGAAGTAATATTAAGGATGTCATATCAAAAACCTAAGAGACTKGACAAAAGTTTGTAATATATATGAGCTACTTCCATAATTGATAACTAATTTTGAGATAGAGCCCAATAAACTCAAACGAATATTTGGTCCAAAAAAAGAATCTAACAAAGATTAATGAGTCCAAAAAAGGCGATCACAATCTTGTGAGGGCATATTAGGGATCCTACCTAGAAAAGACCATCTTTTTTCTTTGATTTATAAGTGTCGTCATCGTGCTGCTCCTACCAACAGTTTCATTATCTATGAGAAAAAAAAGGTTCTAAAAAGAAAATAATCGCCATTTCAATAAGTGAGGCTTTCTCGATCAAAATATTTGCATGCGAAAGAGATCCCAACTCCGTATATCTAGTTAAGTGAGTCTTACCGCCTCCACTCCTATTGCATATATTAGGTTAAGCAATCTTTACCGCATCCATCCAGACCAAAGAAGGTGTGCATTGGGAGCAAGGACTTAACCAGTGGCCACGTTAAGAGTCCTACGTTTAAAGTTCAAAATACCAAATAAATGTTTATAATATAATGAGTTATTCTTCTTATCACAAATTAATTTTGAGATGTAACTCCGTAAATATTGACAGATAAAACATTACAACATTTGGGTAAAACTGAATTTGTTTTTTTAGATATATGATTTTAGTGGAAATGAATTATTTGAAATGAGATGAAAATGAAATGGCCACTCTCCATCATGGAGGAACTTATTCCAATAATAAAAGCTGTAGCAAACTGCAAAAGTTGATTTTGTGGGCATGTGAGAGAGAGATATTTTTCTGAATAATTTTGGCATAATAAGTGGTTTCAATGATAAAAATGGGTTCTGCCACATTTTTTTCCCTTCCTTTTGCAAAGGAAAAAAAAGGTATTATTTTGTTGGGCCATCTTTTCTTGGCTGTTTGTATACTGTTTGTGCTTGGAGGGCAACAATATTATTCAAAAACCACTATTTTCCTTCTAAAAWTCTCATTTTTAATAATAATAATAAGAAGAAGAAATTAATAGTCTTCTTATTATCTAATAACAAAGTTAGAAAATTAGTAGAAAAATAAACTGACAAAGTCACTAGATACATAGCAAAGAAAACATTTTTTTTATTAAATTCATGCAAATATCCAAATTGAGTCACAAAATACCCAAATGTAACTACTAAATCAAGTAACAATAAAGTTTGGGTAAAAATTATTTTTGGTCCCTAGGTCTGAGGTCGGTGTTTATTTGGTTACTGAAGTTTCAAAATGAACACTTTTAGTCTMTGAGATTTGAGGTAGTGTCTAMTTGGTCCCTAAAGTTTCAAAATGAACATGTTTTGTCCTTAAAATTTAAAGTAGGTGTTAACTTGGTCATTGGAGTTTTAAAATGAGCACTTTTGGTTCTTAAAATTAAAAAAATAGTTCTAAATGGTCCATTTATTTTACTGTTAATTAACTAATATCAAAATGATGTGGCAAATTGCAATTAAATTGTTTATAGTAGTTTGTGATGTGACAAATTATATTAATTAAATAATATATGTGTAGGTCATTGTACTTTCTCTCTCCTCTCTCTTCCTCCTACCCTTTTCTGACGACTACCACGTCTTTACCGACGTTCGACATTCATATCGGAGATATATCATTTAATTAATATAATTTGCCACATCAGCAACTACAATAAATAATTTAATTGTAATTTGCGAGATCATTTTAATATTAGTTAATTAAAAGAAAAAAATCAGAGACCATTTAGAACTATTTCTAGACCAAAAGTGTTCATTTTAAAATTTTAGGGACTAATTAAACACCTACCCAAAATCTCAGGGACCAAGTAGACACCTACTCAAACTTGGACCAAAAATATATTGCGAAATTTTTTTTTTCAAATTTGTTATTAATTTAATGTGTATTATTTATTAATTTTAAATAACTTGTATGAATTTTAATTGAATTGCATGAGAGAACCATCTAACCCCACAAAACTTGACATCATAAAATTTATAAAATATAGTTTCTTAGAAAACTCATTTGATAAAATTCACATTTCTCTGTTTTTTTYTCTTTTTCTTTTTTTTTTTTGTGTTGTTGTTGTTAATTTCTTGTTTTTTGTGTTTGTTATTGCTTCTTTTAAATAATAAAAGGAAAAAAGATTTTGAAAAGAGGTCCATTCAATGTTGAACTCAAATTTTGGAAATGGAACACATTTTTATTCTTTTTTAATCGTATAAAAACAAAGAACAATGAATAACTATGGACATGTTTCTTCCACCTCATAAAGAAAGAAAATTTAAGAAATTTAAGAAAAAAAGAATCAACAAACAAACAAAAAGAAATAAAATATATTTTCAAACAAGTATTTCTTTTTTTAGTACTTGATCTTTTTAGTACAAAATTAATTTTTTTTAGTACTAGAATCTCTTTTTATCAAACAAGTCATTTATAACATAAGAAATTAAAAAGTGCCCATCATAATTTAAA